TACATATTTTCTATTTCCTATTCCTTGATAGCAACTCCCAGAAATCATCCAGATAGATAAGATATATAGATTAGATAGAGATAGACAGTAGGTAGATAGATCAATCAGGAGAACTGCTGGGAGTTACAGTCCAAGAATAGGTAGAGAAGGAAGAAAGGAGAGAAAGTAAAAAGGAGGGGAAGGAAAGAAAGAGATAGAGAAAGAAGGAAAGGAGGTAGGAAAGAAGGAAAGAAAAAAGGAAGGAAGGAAGGAAGGAAGGAAGGAAGGAAGGAAGGAAGGAAGGAAGGAAAGAAAGAAAAAAGGAAGGAAGGAAGGAAGGAAAGAAAGAAAAAGGGAGGGGGGGAGAGAAGGAAGGAAGGAAGGAAGGAGAGAAAGAAAGAGGGAGGGAGGGAAGGTTGGTCACAGCAATGCGTGGCAGGTACAGGTAGTCCCCAATAAGAATTATGATCTCAATGAAATTTCCTTTCAATCCCCATGTTTCTGCCATTTTCCGGGCTGAATATATATCCAGAGGAAACATTGCCTTCATTTGATGTCCAGTTTCATGATCTTCCACTTTACATGTGCCCCTAAAGTGTGAAAGACCTTAGAAAGGAGATCCTGAAATGTTATGGGATTTTTCCAATGATATGGCAAGGAAGGGAATAAGGAAGCATCTTCACTGCAGGTTTAATGTATTTAGAGACTACTTGAACTGCCATGGCTCAATGTTATGCAATAATGGAGTTTATTGTATAATGAAATCTTTAGCCTTCTCTGCTGCTGCCTCACCAAACTACAGATCCCAGGATTTCATATAATTGAGCCATGGTAGTTAAAGTGTTGTCAAACTGCAACTATTCTACAGTGAAGATGAGACCTTAACGTCTGCCCAGCCCTACATCACAGTCAATCCTTGCAGATTTGTGGTGAATCTGTATGTGTTCCTTTGACAACTTTTTTTGCTTCTGTGGTCAGAGGAGCAGGTGTTCTTTGACAGATAAAATTGATGCAGAAAGGATTTCCCTGGAGCAAGAAAACACTGCAGCTCCACAGACTTCGTGGTAATAAGTTGGTTTTGTAATTATCTTCCATCTTATGACTCTGTCCAGGCCGGAGTCAACCAGGCTGGGGAGCCTCCAGGCAAAATGAGTCTAGTGATGGGCATCAAACTGCTCTTAGATTTGTACAAAGTTTTAGCTATGGCTAAAATCCAACCACCGCTTGGGAAAACTCTCCCTCCCCGCAGCTTTCTGATCTGGGCCTGAGTCACCTGAGGGTGTCTGCAGATTTTCAATTTCACGCTACACCCACAATCCGTTTTGGATGGAAAGCAAGTTGACATGAATCCCATCTCTGTCTTTGTGGGATGAATCCAATCAAATACCTTCACAAGTATTTAAGAGGATGGCCAGTCTGTGGGCTGGATCCAACCGCCAAAGCAATTTTATCTCCCCACATGTCAAATGTGATGCAGCCCTTTTCCATTTCGATTGTAACTCGTGTTCCATATGTATGCATGTTGTTGTTAATGGCCATCATACTGATTTCGACATGGCAGCAGCCCTATGAATGAGAGCTCTCTTTCCCATTCTGTTATCAATTGTCCATCAAAGATCTTGCAAGAGAGGCAGTGTGGTGCATTGGATTGACTTGTGGGCAATGGGGTGCATCTATACTGTAGAATTATTGCAGTTTGACATCACTTTAACAGACATGGCTTGATGCTATGGAATTGTGAGCTTTGAGTTTGGTGAGGCACCAAGGAGAGAAGGCTAAAGGCTGACAACAACAATAACAACAACAATAACAATATACCTCACTACCTCTGAGGATGCTTGCCATAGATGCAGGTGAAACATCAGGAGAGAATGCCTCTAGACCATGGCCATATAGCCCAAAAAAACCTACAACAACCCAGTGATTCTGGCTATGAAAGCCTTTGACAACACATAATAACAATATACTTTATTTATATTCTATTCTATCTCCCCAAGGAGACTCAGGGCGAATTACAGAACAAATGTACGGCAAACATTCAATGCCATTATACAATTAACAAGGTCAGACAATACATAAACAGAGGTAAAGGTTTTTCCCATCTTTTTCCATCTCCGGCATCTGGAGGCTGTCCTTGCCTCCGGCCACGATGTGTGCTGTCGCTCCATCTTCCATGCTGAGGAGCTTTGTCATCTGTAGATGTCCTCCCCATCGAATCGCCACCACGTCCTTATGGGTGCCTTTTATTGCCTCCCTGCTTAAAGCAGTACCTTTCTAGATCTAGGGAAGCAATGCTGCCCCTCTATTCCGCTTTGGTTAGACCACACCTGGAATATTGTGTCCAATTCTGGGCACCACAATTCAAGAGAGATATTGACAAGCTGGAATGTGTCCAAAGGAGGGCGACTAAAATGATCAAGGGTCTGGAGAACAAGCCCTATGAGGAGCGGCTTAAGGAGCTGGGCATGTTTAGCCTGAAGAAGAGAAGGCTGAGAGGAGATATGATAGCCATGTATAAATATGTGAGAGGAAGCCACAGGGAGGAGGGGGCAAGCTTGTTTTCTGCTTCCTTGGAGACTAGGGCGCAAAACAATGGCTTCAAACTACAAGAGAGGAGATTCCATCTGAACATGAGGAAGAACTTCCTGACTGTGAGAGCCGTTCAGCAGTGGAACTCTCTGCCCCGGAGTGTGGTGGAGGCTCCTTCTTTGGAAGCTTTTAAACAGAGGCTGGATGGCCATCTGTCAGGGGTGATTTGAATGCAACATTCCTGCTTCTTGGCAGGGGGTTGGACTGGATGGCCCATGAGGTCTCTTCCAACTCTTTGATTCTATGATTCTATGATTCTATTTATCTACTCACATTTCTCTTTTCGATCTGCTAGATGAGTATAAGCTAGGGCTGACAGTGGGTGCTCACCCCAACCCAGGCTTGAACTGCCAATCCTTCGATGGGCAGGATTTTCTGTAGCTTAGCGGTTTAACCCACTGTGCCAATCCCTATAAGTTCCACGATTCCGCAATATTAAGATATGGTGGTTAAAGTGGTGTCAAACTGCATTAATTATACAGTGTAGATGCCCACAAGTCAATCCATCTATAATCAGCCTTTCCCCCCATTCTTCCACCTTCACAAGCATTATCTTTTCTACTAAGTCACTTTGTTTCCTAACATGTCCAAAGTACAATAGTATAAGTTCAGTTATTTTGATTTCTAGTGTGAGTTTGAGATTGATTTGCTATTAGACTCATTCATTTTGCCTTTACCAGAATACGTTATCCATAGGAATCTCATTTATCATCACATTTCAAATAAAGTGATTATCTATCTGTCATCTTACTTCGCTCTGCAACGTTCACAATTAGATATAGAAATCTGAATTATTGTGACATAGATGCTCTTGACTTTGGTATTCAACTATATATCTTTCCAATTGAGAATCTAATCAAGGTCCTTCATAATTTCCCATACAACTCCAAGGACTTTATCACACCAACTGCTATCACATCATTGCAATCGCATTAGTTCAGGGAATGGAAACATACTGGTTTTAGAGCATTCAATATTGCATCTTTCTGCATAAGTGCAATGGTGACACCTTTGCAATCTATGGTCCCACAATCTGTCTTTCACCTCCATAACTTTTCCTTCCTACCCTATGCCCTACCTAGGGTGCCTTTTGAGTTTTAATTTCTCTCTCTCGTTATCTCAATTTTTCAATTATAGCAATGCACTTTTTTTAAAAAAAGTAAAGAAAATGCAGAAAAAAGGGGTACGTTCTGCTTGGGAATCTCAAAGGGGAACTGGAAAGGGAATCATGCCCACTGATGTTACATGGTTGCTGGCATATTGGAACACAAGCGGAAGGGAACTATTGTACTTAGGTAAGTAATGAAAAAGTAATAGCTCTGGGAGGCTTCAGTCATTAATGGAAAGAGTGCCATAGTCACAGAAGTAATGCAAGTCGCTTCTGGAGTGAGAGAATCAGCCATCTACGAAGACGTTGCCCAGGGGACGCCCAGATATCTTGAAATCCTGTGAAGAGGCTTCTCTCGTGTCATGTTTAGCCGGTATTGCACCACCTGACATCTGCTGGGAAGTGGCAGCCAATAGTGAAAGGACCAAGGCAGTGACATCTCCAGCCCATCCCCTGTTTGGGTATCAGCCAGCACGTCAATGACTTAAATCAAGAAATAGTTTTCTAAGATCTACAGAGACACTCGCTGGGACACCTCAGCAAGTGAGAGTCCAAAAGTGGCAGGCTCAAACCCAGAACCTCAGTCCATGGCTGATACCAAATGAGAGACTCACCCCTGGGCACACAGAGGACTGGCCGACTTGGAAGGTGCTGAACAGACTGCGCTCTGGCACCACGAGATGCAGAGCCAATCTTAAGAAATGGGGCTACAAAGTTGAATCCACAACATGCGAGTGTGGAGAAGAGCAAACCACTGACCACCTGCTGCAATGCACCCTGAGCCCTGCTACATGCACAATGGAGGACCTTCTTGCAGCAACACCAGAGGCACTCCAAGTGGCCAGATACTGGTCAAAGGACATTTAATCAACTACCAAGCGTGCAAACTTTGTGTTTTGTCTGTTTGTTTTGTTCTGTTAGAAATGTAATACAATTGTCTGGTTGCCCCTAACATGATAAATAAATAGGGAGAGTGTAACCCCATCCGACACAGGCTGTAACCCAAACTCCTAAGAGTTCAGGTGTCTTCCCATACTACAAATCCAAGGATGCCATACCATTGAGACATTTTGGATTTCAGTTAAGAAATACTCAACCTACACTTGCGATTTCTCATTTCTTGTTATATTTTTACGGCAGGTCTTATTACACCAGTTTCATCTGTGGCGAAGAATTTGTCTCATTGATTGCACTCATTTTCAGTGTATTTTACATTTTCAATATAAGCTATGGTGGTGGCTACCCACAGGGGGAAGTAATAATTTTGAATAATAAAAATAAAATATGCCATTCTGGAGAGTGGATGACTTCTTAATATTCTTACCTGCTCAGACGGCTTCAGTCTGGTCGTCCTGCCTGTTTTGATCTGCAAGGAAAAAAAATGGAGAAATTTATTTACAACTCCTGGATGTAAGTAATCTATACATTAGTCTGAAATTAATTTAAGCTGATTCCCTTCTGATAAAAGAGGTTAATAAGTAAGTAATAAACAGAGAGAGAGAACGACGACACTAACAAAACCCCAGCAAACTAATGTCAAGGTGCCCTTTTGAGAAAAGAACACAAGGGCTCAGTTCTTGTGCAGAAAAGGGCAGCTAAAAGGATCAAGGGGCCAGAGAAAACCTTCCTGAGAATCAATGTTTTGAACTTTTAAAGTGCATCTCCACTGTAAAATTAATGCACTTTGACACTACTTCCACAACTGCAGCTCAATACTACGGAATCCTGGGAATTATAGTTTGGTGAGGCACCAGCACTCCTTGTTCAGAAAAGGCTCTGAAAAATAACAATTCCCAGAATTCGGTAGCATTGAGCCATGGCAGTGAAAGTGGTGTCAAACTGTATTAATTCTATGTATTGTCGAAGGCTTTCATGGCTGGAATCACTAGGTTCTTGTGGGTCGCCTGTGAGTCGCCTAAGGGCTGAGAACAGCGGTATACAAATAAAGTAAATAAATAAGTAAATAAATAAATGTTTTTCGGGCTATAGGGCCATGTTCTAGAGGCATTTCTCCTGACGTTTCGCCTGCATCTATGGCAAGCATCCTCAGAGGTAGTGAGGTCTGTTGGAATTAGGAAATGGGTTTATATATCTGTGGAATGAGTGGGGTGGGGCAAAGAGCTCTTCTCTGCTGGAGCTAGGTGTGAATGTTTCAACTGACCACCTTCATTAGCATTTCCTTTTGTTGAGAGGTGTTAAGATTTGCCTGGTTGTTTCCTCTCTGCTGTTTTGCTGTTGTAATTTTAGAGTTTTTTTTAAATACTGGTAGCCAGATTTTGTTCATTTTCATGGTCTCCTCCTTTCTGTTGAAATTGTCCACATGCTTGTGGGTTTCAATGGCTTCTCTGTGTAGTCTGACATGGTGGTTGTGAGAGTGGTCCAGCATTTCTGTGTTCTCAAATAATATGCTGTGTCCAGGTTGGTTCATCAGGTGCTCTGCTATGGCTGACTTCTCTGGTTGAAGTAGTCTGCAGTGCCTTTCATGTTCCTTGATTCGTGTTTGGGCAATGCTGCTTTTGGTGGTCCCTATGTAGACTTGTCCACAGCTGCATGTATTAATTCTGTAATGTAGATGTACATACCCTTAGCATAGGAAAGGCCAGTAAGGAAGGATATGATGGAACATCAGGTTGAATGTCTGTGCTGGTACGGCTGTACCAGGAGCTCCAACTTCATTTCTTCCTATTGAGTGTTTGCATATATTCCAAGGTTCCATGCATTTGCAAAAGGTGACTTCCCTTGGTTTGCAGGCATAGGGCTAGCCACCTGTCTATCATTGTTAAGTTTGGTTTCTGCCCCTTTGTCCAGGGCTCTGGGAGGGAAAGGGAACCATTTTAGTCAGTCTTATAGTGGAAAGCTTAGCTACAGGACGTGGATCAGCTCCATCTGTAGACAAGCATCGTTTCTCACAAACATATGGGGGAAACAGCTCCACATCTTTCGTGGAAAAGAGCCAAAAGAACTCCAGTTGGAGAATCTACAGAACCATGACTGGTAGGTCTACTCGGGTAGCCGGAGCAATCGGAGCCGAGAGTGGAGCCCACACCAGCAAGCATAGAAAGCAGATTGCTAGAGAGGGGTTAAAAAGGGTTTTCCTCATAAAGGATAGAAACATTTCTCCAAGCAAGGTACCTGTCCATTGTAGACAAGTTAAGAAACATTTGTTTGATTGTTTAATAAAGATCTTAGAAGCATTTCATTGTTTGTTGAAGATTTAAGCAATAATAAAGGACCTTGTTAAACTTTCCAAGCATCTAGAGACTTTTGCATAAGAAAATCCTTAGGCCTCTCACTCAAGGCACCCCGGCTTCCCACTGGGCACAAAGAGCACATCCTGTTCAAAAGCCAATTATTATAGGCCCAGCGTGTGACAGCACAATGTCCCCTTATGTTGCACCCCAGCTCTTTGCCTGACTCCTTATCTAACGTTGCAGTTTCTGGCTCCTCTGTCTAACCTTGAAGCCTTGCACTTTCTGAGTCAGGTTATTCCCAGAGAGAACCATCATTTCTCTGACTCACAGGAAATCCCACAATCCCCTCTAAATCATCAGTGAATCCGTCAGCCTCCAGGCAGTACTACAACACCTTATTCATAATACTATCTAGTACAATTTTTGTTCCTGGATTATAAATGTCATTTCCTAATTGGTTCTATCATAAAAACATGGAAAAAGTTTGTTAAACTGCAAAAACTTTGTTTTAGTGGGAGGGGCATCCTGAAACACATTTGGCTACAGTTTTTCTTAGAATCTGAACCAATTCAAGATAGTTTGCGGCAGCCTGTTGCAACCCAGAGCAGGAAACTGGACCCTCTTGACAACAATCCACCACACTTGACTGCAGGAATACAATCCTTTTTATTGAAGAACGATGAATACAAAGCAGAGGAAGAATCAGAGGTAAATAAAAACCATAGCAAAACAGCAACAAGCAATGTCCATGAACAAGTCCATAAAAAACCACAGCAAACGGTGAGTTACCCTTGATGAATCATAAAATCTGCTAGCTCCCAGCTAACTATACTTGGAACAACTTGAGAAACTACGAGAAACCCAGCCACTTGAATCAGGAGGCCTCCACAGGCTTGCACTTGGAACTGGAACGAAGCTTGGTCTGATGGCAGCTTCAGAACCGACACTCTTAGAGGAGAGAAATCTATTACGAGACACACCTGAAGTTTTTGTTTCTTTCTGACATCTGTAAACTTGGTGCTTCTCCCCTGCTCTGCCGAATCTGCCCCCTCCTTTCCTCATTAGGCTGACCAGGTGTCAGATTCTCTGGGAAACTAAGGCTGGGAGAAAAAGGGAGCYAAACTTCTCCGCAAGGGAGTGAAACTTCTCTGCTCGATTRGGAATGAATGTTCTCATGGGAACTTTGARTTTCACTTTCCAAGGGTGTAGGATTTTCACTATTCAACCCATCATCAGTATTAACATCTACATTGGCCTCAGAATCAACATTGACCTCTACATTTGCATCAGGAAATACAATCAAAGAATCAGGTACAGGGTCACACAGAGGCTGAACCCCAACKCAGTCACAAAACCAAAGTTTCTGGAGTATAGCAACTACTTTCAARGTAAGTAACACATAATTAACCAGGAAATAACACTTTCAAACCAGGAACAGAAAAGCGGTCAAATTTTGTCGCATAGTGTAATGTTTGGGACCAGAATTGCTTTGGATTTTGACCCCCCCTCCCCAAGATTTTGGAATACATGTATTTGCATATGCGTACATGATGAGGTGTCTTGGAGATAGGGCCCAAGCCTAAGCGTAAAGTTAATTTATATTTTGTTATGCACCTTATAAATATATCCCAAATGCCATAACAATCTTTTGTAGCTATGGTCTGAGTTTGGAAAAGGAGGCTATTTAATGCCCAGTTAAAGCAGGATGTGGTCTGTGTTTGGGATTTTCTCTCTTTTTGTCCATAAATGACATTATCTCTTGTCTGTCTCCTGAGGAATCTATATAACAACCAAGTAGCAACAGTAAGAACAGACCACAGAACAACAGACTGGTTCAAGATTGAGAAAGGCAAACAGCAGGGTTGTACACTGTCACTCAACCTATTCAACTTGTATGCAGAACACATCATGCAACATGCAGGGCTTGATGAATTCAAGGCCGGAGTTAAAATTGCTGGAAGCAACATTAACAACCTTAGGTATGCAGACGATACCACTTTGATGGTCAAAAGCGAGAAGGAGCGGAGGAGCCTTCTAACCAATGTGAAAGAAGAAAGGGCAAAATCTGGGTTGCAGTTAAGCATAAAAAACCCCAAGATGATGGCAACCAGACAGATTGACAACTGGGAAATAGAGAAAATGTGGAGGTAGTGACAGACTTGGTATTTCTAGGCACAAAGATTACTGCAGAAACAGACTGCAGCCAGGAAATCAGGAGACGCTTACTTCTTGGGAGGAGAGCAATGTCCAGTCTCGATACAATAGTGAAGAGTAGAGACATCACACTGGCAACCAAGATCTGCATAGTTAAAGCAATGGTGTTCCTCGTAATAACCTATGGATGTGAGAGCTGGACCATAAGGAAGGCTGAGTGAATGAAGAGAGACGCTTTTGAGCTGTGGTGCTGAAGGAAAATTCTGAGAGTGCCTTGGACCACAAGAAGATCCAACCAGTCCATCCTCCAGGAAATAAAGCCTGGCTGCTCATTGGAGAGAAGGATAGGAGAGGCAAAGATGAAGTACTTTGGCCACATAATGAGAAGATAGGAAGAGAGGAGACAATAATGCTGGGGAAAATGGAAGGAAAAAGGAAGAGGGGCCTACCGAGGGCAAGATGGATGGATGGTATCCTTGAAGTGACTGGAGCTGGGCGTGGTGACGGCCGACAGGGAGCTCTGGTGTGGGCTGGTCCATGAGGTCACAAAGAATCGGAAGCAACTGAACGAATAAACAACAAACTGTGTGTATCTGGTATGTTTTAGCTCAATGGACTGATTTGTGTTTTAACAAATGTCATAATAGCTTCAAACTATGAGCTCATAAAGGCATCTCCTGGAAACTTTCTTGCAGAGGAATACAAATGTAAAAGTAAGTGGCAGCCCTCTCAACATTGAGTTGCTATGAGTTTTCTGGGCTGTATGGCCATGTTCCAGAAGCATTCTCTCCTGACGTTTCACCCACATCTATAGCAGGCATTCTCAGAGGTTGAGAGGTCTGTTGGAAGTTGGTTATGGCCATGAAAGCCTTCAATCACACATTGAACCTTTCAACATTGCTTAACATTTTGAAAAAAAGAGTTTACACATAGACACATGCTTTTATATATTTTATTTTATTGCAATTTATGCTGTGCATTTGGCACAGCTGCTTATTCTGGAATCATCCCAGACATTTTC